AGCGTGCAAACAGCCACGTACTGCCCCCTTGCTCGCACATGTGCAGCCGGGCCAGGCCGGTCACGTATGTGCCCCCGGCTCCTCTCCCAACCCTGGTGCACTGCCGCCTGGGTACGAGGAGCAGGTTTTGGGGCTGTGGCAGGGTGGGATGGGGGCTTATGGGGCAGCAGGGGGAAGCTGGGAGCCCAGGGACAGCTATTTATAAACCGGCCTTTTCCTTCGGAAGACTTCCGAGTTCATCTCCCCCCAGCGCCGGCCGGAAAAAGGCCCCATTGTCTCAGCACCAGATGGGCCGGGGCCGGGCACTCGCCTGCACAATGGGGCGGATTATGTGCCCGGCCGGCGGGGGTCCGGCAGTGGGATGCCCAGGAACAGCAGCTGCTGCCAGCGCCTGCGCGGCAACCCCACGGCATGGGCTGGCAGGCTGAGAGTGAGGCAGGCGGGGGTTCCGGCCGCGCTCTTTCATCACCCCTGCTAACGCCACAGCTCTCGTGCCACGGCTCCCCGGAGGAACGGGGAGGAGGAACGCCCCTGCCCTGCGCTCCATGTCACCCAGCTTTCCCGGCTTGCTGCGGTGTCGCTGAGCGGCGTGCTCCCTTCTGCCAAGGAAGGGAAGAGAAGCCAGCATGGGGGCCCAGCATCACCCCCTGTGCTTGCCTGCGGCCCCAGGCGGTGAAGTTTTCATCCTGGCTTTGTTTGCAGGGCTTGGAGCTCCCCCAGGACAGCTCATTAGGAGCAACTGCAAGAAAGCATAATGAGAGATTAGCCCCAGGCAGGTGGCGAGGCCAGCCCCAGCTTTGGGGGAGCCCCTCTCGCACCCATGGGCTGTGGACGATCCCTTTGGAGGGCTTTGGGGAAGGGTCCCTGCTGCCGTGAGAGCACATGGAGTAAGGGCGAGGGCAGACGAGGGCTGCCTGGAAGAAGGCAGTGAGCAGGGTGCAGTCCCATGCCACCTCCCTGCACCACTGGCCCTGCACCCTGCTCGGCCCCACAGCATCGGGGACACGCCGGAACACCAGAGCCCAGGGGAACTGTGGGGCTGGCCGGGCCAAGCAGGGATTTCTCCTTGCAGGACTTTCCCATGGAAGAGGACTTGCTTTTCCCAGGGCTGTCTGGCCCGGCTCCAGGAGGAGAGAGAGATCCCAGCTCCCTTCGTGGGGAGCCACACAGCCCTCCAGAAACACGGCGGGCAGCCCTCACGCTCCCACTCTTCCACCAGTCTGCAGGGCAAACAAAGGCAGGGAAGGTGCCCGCTGCCAGGGACACAGGGGGAGACGGGCGCCCTCCAGCTCCCAAGCCTTCCCGTGGGCTCTCTCCAGCAGCCTCAGCTGTGAGGCACACAGGGCGGATGCTGGCTGTTGTTCCCTGCCAGCAGGGATGCGTGCGGTGGGGGATACCATCACCTGCACCTCCAAGGCTAGGCGAAGGCCAGAGGAAGAGTGAGCCACGCCATCCTGGAGCTGAGCCTGAGTGGGGACGGGGGACTTTCCTGGAGCGGATGCACCGGAATGAGCTATTGTTCCAGCCTGGCCTGCGAGCACGGGGCTGCAGGCACCCGCCGCCACGCTGAAGTATCTGCTCGGCCCTCGTCAAGGGCATCTTGAGGGGACCCGAGGTAAGGCTGCTGGCAGCGCCCAGGAGGACCGTGCTGGCTGGCTTCTCCCAGGGAAGGGGAACACGGCCGGGGGTCCACAGGCGAGGGCACCCTGGCGATGGTCCCAGCTGCCTGGCCAGCCGTGAGGCTGCTGGGAGCGCTGGCGTGACGCCAGCAGGACCCACACCCCAGAAACACCCTTCCTGCCTCAGGGCAATGGCAGGGCAGGGCGTGCCCATGCAGCAAGGGCCTAGGGAGGCAGGGGAAGATGCTGGGGCTGGGGAAGCTGCATGTCCCCCTGCAGAGGCAGGCCTGGAGGGAGCCGTGGGGGGCCCCCGCCCTGGCTCCCAACTCCGCAGCTGCAGGCTGTGCTGCCAGCCCTTTGCCTATTTTTCCCATTCCTCTGCCACCCGCAGCCTTTTCCCAGCCAGTCTGCTGGGATCTGCCCGGGGTGCGATGCAAGGCAGCCCCAGCGCTGCTAGCCTGGCCCCAGGCTCCGCACAGCCTGGATCCCAGAGCACAGGGTCCTGATCCCCCCCCCAAGCACGCTGGGCTCCAGAGAGCTCCTCAAGCACTGTGAAACCCGGCCCTGGGGCTGCTCCCTCCCTTGCCCTTTTC